TCGACATTTCTAGCTCTCTATCTCTCTCCCTTCCTCTCTGTAAAAAATCAATAAAAATATATTTAAAAAAAGAAGAAGAACTTTAAATTTTTCAGATAGTAAATTAGTTACTTAGCATTTTCTCAAATCAATACCTCCACATGCCCAAGGATACACTTCACACAAAAGACATTTTCAAATAGATCAACCAACCTCATCCAGGCCCCACACAAGGCACTCACAGATCAACACCCCAGCGCTATACTAACTCAACACTTCCAGATCTAAGCCTTCATCACTTGATTCAGCAGACCCTCAAGATCCCCCAAAAGTTTCCAGCCATGACTGAGAGGCAGCCCTGGGGCGTGGGCAGGCGAGGAGCGAGCTGTTCCGGGCCTGGCTGCTCCGGGCCTGGCCTCTGTTGCTCTGGTCTGCTCCACAACCAGCTGCTCCGGGTCTGGCCACTGCCACTCCCTACCTGACTGCTCCAGGCTTGGTTGCTGCTGCTCTGGGCCTGGCTGCTCCCGACCCGGCTATTCTGGGCCCGGCTGCTCTGGGCCCGGCAGCTCCGGGCCTGGCCGTTCCTGGCCTGGCTGCTGCTGCTCCAGGCCTGGCTGCTCCCGACCCGGCTGCTCTGGGCCCGGCTGCTTCCGGCCTGGTTGCTGCTGCACCAGGCCTGGCTGCTCCCAACCTGGATGCTTTGGGCCCAGCTGCTCCAGGCCCGGCCACTCCAGACCTGGCCACTCTCGACCTGGCTGCTCCGGGCTTGGTTGCTGCTGCTCTGGGCCTGGTTGCTCCCAACCCGGCTGCTCTGGTCCCGGCTGCTCCTGGCCTGGCTGCTGCTGCTCCGGGCCTGGCTGCTCCCAACCAGGCTGCTCTGGGCCCGGCTGTTCCCGGCCTGGCTGCTGCTGCTCTGGGCCTGGTTGCTCCCAACCCGGCTGCTCTGGGCCCGGCTGCTCCCGGCCTGGCTGCTGCTGCACTGGGCCTGGTTGCCCCCAGCCCGGCTGCTCCAGGCCTGGCAGCTCCCGACCTGGCTGCTCCGGGCTTGGTTGCTGCTGCTCTGGCTGCTCCCAACCCAGCTGCTCTGGGCCCGGCTGCTCCCAACCCGGCTGCTCTGGGCCCGGCTGCTTCGGGCCCAGCCACTCTGGGCCTGGCTGCTCCCAGCCTGGCTGCTGCTGCTCTGAGCCTGGCTGCTCCCAACCCGGCTGCTCTGGGCCCAGCTGCTTCGGGCCCGGCCGCTCCTGGCCTGGGTGCTCCTGGCCTGGCCACCCTGGGCTTGGCCTCCTCCGCCCCAGGCCTGGCTGCCACTGTCCCAGGTCTGGCTGTTCCGGGCCTGGCTGCTGTTGCTCTGGTTCTGGCTGCTGCTGCTCCAGGCCCAGCTGCTACTGCCTTGTGCCTAGCCACTCTGGGCCTGGCCGCTGCTGTTCCAACATTTTGTCTTTTTTTTTTTTTTTTTTTTTTTTTTTAACACATTTATGTTGCAATGTTGGCTGCTGAGTTGAGTTCTGTCTTAGTCTTCGATTTTTCCAGATCTTCTTTGTATTCTTTCTTAAGTAATTTTACTATCTTTTGCTATAACTTTATTTCTTCACATTGAACACTTCTTTGGTTTCTTCCTCCTCATCCTGGAAACTCAGCAGGCTGGCCTGCAGCACCCCTTTGTTCTCCGCAGGCTCCGGCACTGCTTCAGCCTGTTGCCGGGGTCAGCGCTGCCCAGGAAGCAGCCCTGGCCTCGGCTCCATGGCCCACGATCAGCGGTCGAGGGCCCAGCGGCACTCCGCCCCCTGGGGGCCCCGTCACCTGGCTCCTTGCCATCGCCCAGCTGGCCGGTGTCCGGCAGCGGCTCCTGCTCCTCATTGCGTTCCTCCCAGTCTGGAGCTTTTTTCTCCTTCCCGCTGAGGAAGTCTAGCATCAGAGTCAACAGAGTGTCCTCTGCGTGCAATGTGCACGACTCTGGGGGCTCTGCCCCTCGCTGCTCCCCTGGGACTCCGCCTCACAGCCCTGTCTCCCTCTGCTTGAGCTTGGGTCCCCAACGATTGGCCCAGAACTGGGGTTCGGGGCGGTCGGGAGTGGGGCTCAGTACCGCCAAAGGTTTTGTTTCCTTCCCGCCAGGGCAATCTAGCATCAGAGCGCAATGTGTGCGACTCCAGGGGCTCCGCTTTTCACCGCTCCCCTGGGATTCCACCTCACAGCCCGTCTCCCCCTGCCCAAGCCTGGGTCCCCAGGGTCTGTCCCAGAACTGGGGCTCAACGCTGCCGGTTCTGGGGTTCAGCCCAGTCCGGGGCTTTTATTTCCTTCCTGCTAGGGAACGCCAGGCTGGCACCCAGCCTTCTCCTCCTTTCAGGCTCCATCCTCTCAGCATGTCTCTGTACCTTAGGCTTTTTCAGCTCCCCTGATTTTCCTTCTGGTTTTCTCTTTCCTTCTTGTAGAATTTTCAGTCAGTCAACTACCTGTAGCTCTGGGCAATGTCCATTTTATATTTTAGTTGTATTTTATTGAAATTGTTGTGTGTGGCTGTGGTTAGGTGTTTACTTGGGCAGCCATCTTGGATCCTTCCCAGGGCATTTCCCCAGGAAGTCATTTTATTAATTTGTTACTTATCCTTTTGTGGTGCGTTGTTGTTGTTTTTATTGTTGTTGTTTTGTTTTGCTTTGCTTTTTCTTGGGGGGGGAGGGGTATTTTTCCATTGATTTTTAGAGAGTGGAAGAGACAGGGAAAGGCAGAGAGAACTATCAATGTGAGAGAAACACATCGATTGGTTGCTCCTGCACCTGCCCCGACCAGGGCCCAGGCAAGGGAGGACCCTGCAATCGAGGTACATGCCCTTAACCAGAATCAAAGCCTGGGCCCTTCGGTCCACAGGCCAATGCTCTATCCACTGAGCCGAACCAGCCTTTAAAAATATAAGCTGCCCTAATCAGTTTGTCTCAGTAGATAGAGTGTTGGCCTGTGGACTAAAGGGTCCCAGGTTTGATTCTGGTCAAAGGCATGTACCTTGGTTGCAGGCACATCCCCATCAGGGGTGTGCAGGAGGCAGCTGATTGATGTTTCTAACTCTCTATCCCCTTCCCTTCCTCTCTGTAAAAAATCAATAAAGTTAAAAAAAAAAAAAAAAAAATATATATATATATATATATATATATATATATGCAAATACGCACACAGGTTCACTGTGTCCGTATACATTCACGCCCCTTCCCCACCCCGAGCTAGCACCCGGAAATGCCCTTAGTGCGGCGGTGCCACCCATTGCCGTTCACAGGGACCCTCCTCGCCCGCCCGTCCGCTGAGGCCTGCAGCGTGTCATGTTTTCCTCCTGAGGACACTTGGGGTGCTTCCGGCCTTCGCTCCCATAGGTGCTGCTGCAGTGAAAGGCCTTGTGCTTCTGCACTTGATCTTAGCCAAAAGGCCGAGAAGCGATGGCCTTGTGCTTCTGCCAGTGTGCCGCTGTGGGGCCTTTTCACGCCGCCTCAACTCCCGGTTCCGCCCGGGGTGGAGGTGGTGCAGCCATCTGGTTACCAGGGTGTGGCCCAGCTCCCGGCGGAGGGAAGCCAGGTGTCCTGAGAGCTTGGTGGCCAGGGCCGCCGTGGGTGGGAGGGCCGCCTGGTGCTTGCCCTTGGCCCCGGGCCCTCCCAGAAATGTGAGGACACGCCCTCTGGGAGCCGTGGGTCCCCCTGGCGGACTGGCTGTTGCCGGCTGGAAACGAGTTAGAGTCATCAACCAGCACAGTCTGGTCTGCAGGAGAGCAGGGCTGCACCTCAGCACGCTGGCCTCCCAGGACAGGATGCGGGCGGGCGGTGGGCCGTGGTGTGCAGACTGCCGGGCGGGCTTTCCTGCCTTCGCCATCGGGTCTCGGTCACCTCCTTCCACCTATTGTTCAGCCGCACTGCCGCTCGGAAAGCCCAGCGCTGCCTCCCATATCCTCTGGACTTTCTGTGGCTGTGCTGTGGGCTCCGGTCCAATGGGAGCCCGGGGCCAGGGCCGGGGCTGGGCCGGGATGGCAGCAGGGGCTGCCGCCTGCACCGGGGCCCGGGCGCTCAGGCTGCTGCACGGATCCTGGCGCGGATGTGCAGTGTCATCCCACAGCCGGCTCGGGTGACCTTGAGCCCCCTGAGCGGGCAGGCCCTCCACCTGCTGTGCAAACACGGCATCCAGCCCGCCCAGCTGCTACGCCCGGCCCACAGGAGTGGCCTCACCCTCCGGGCAGCGCAGCGAGCGGCCAAGGCCCCCGTGTGGGACCTCACACCTGGCCAGGCCTTGGTGTTTCCATGAATAAAAAAGCATCACTCAAACGTCAGATCTGTTAGGGCAGCTTCTATTTCTGTAATGTTCCTAGTAGCTGACGGTGGTGTCTGACAGGGTGGAGATGAACTACAGTCAGGAGCAAATAGAACACGCACCAGCCGTGGACCCACTGTGTGCAGGCCCACTGTGTGCAAGCCCACTCTGCACAGGCCTACAGAGTCAGGCCCACTGTGCGCAGGCCCACAGAGTCAGGCCCACTGTGCGCAGGCCCACAGAGTGCAGGCCCACTGTGCACAGGCCCGCTGTGTGCAGGCCCACTCTGCACAGGCCTACAGAGTCAGGCCCACTGTGCACAGGCCTACAGAGTCAGGCCCACTGTGCGCAGGCCCGCTGTGTGCAGGCCCACTCTGCACAGGCCTACAGAGTCAGGCCCACTGTGCGCAGGCCCACAGAGTGCAGGCCCACTGTGTACAGGCCCACTGTGCACAGGCCGGCTGTGTGCAGGCCCACTGTGCACAGGGCCACTTTGTGCAGGCCCACTGTGTACAGGCCCTCTGTGTGCAGGCCGGCTGTGTGCAGGCCCACTGTGCACAGGGCCACTTTGTGCAGGCCCACTGTGCACAGGCTCTTTGTGTGCAGGCCCATTGTGTGCAGGCCCACTGTGTGCAGGCCCACTATGCGCAGGCCGGCTGTGTGCTGGCCCGCTGTGCGCAGGGCACCGGCCACGCGCCCGGCTTTTCTTCGGGACGCGGTCTCACAGCGGCTCTCCCTCCTAGGGAGGCCCGGGGCGCGCTGGGCGGCCGGGCCCTCTCGCACGACAGCATCTTCATCCCGGAGTCGGGGCCGGACCCCGCGCGGCCCGTGCGGGTGTTCTCCCAGGAGAACGTGTGCGACCGGATCAAGGCTCTGCAGGTGAGCTCCTGGGCGGCGGCCCTCGGTGTGCATGTCAGATACAGATCCAGACGTTTTAAACCCCTGCTGGCCTGTTGGCTCCGTTTTAAAGTGCAATCGCGTGCACTTCGCAACTTTCCCAGGACACGCCAGGCAGTGGCCGCTGGGTCCTGGCGCGTCTGCCTGGTGACGGCTCGTTTTCTAGGTGACAGCGGAGGGTGGCAGCGGAGGGTGACAGCGGAGGGAGGACAGCGGAGGGTGGCAGTGGAGGGAGGACAGCGGAGGGAGACAGCGGAGGGAGGACAGCGGGGGAGGACAGCGGAGGGAGGACAGCGGAGGGAGGACAGCGGAGGGAGGACAGCGGAGGGTGGCAGCGGAGGGTGACAGCGGAGGGAGGACAGAGGGGGAGGACAGCGGAGGGAGGACAGCGGAGGGAGGACAGCGGAGGGTGGCAGCGGAGGGTGACAGCGGAGGGAGGCAGCGGAGGGAGACAGCGGAGGGTGGCAGCGGAGGGTGACAGCGGAGGGAGGACAGCGGAGGGAGGACAGCGGAGGGTGGCAGCGGAGGGTGACAGCGGAGGGAGGCAGCGGAGGGAGACAGCGGAGGGTGGCAGCGGAGGGTGACAGCGGAGGGAGGACAGCGGAGGGAGGACAGCGGAGGGTGGCAGCGGAGGGTGGCAGGCAGGCAGGCGTGATCCGTCCAGCCCTCTGCCCCTCGGCCAGGCGCTGACATGTCTCCTGAATGAATGAATGAATGAATGGATGGATTGGGGAGGGAGAGTTTGTGGATAAAGTCCTGATGAGAACAAGAGCGCATGTTCTTTATTCCACCCCAGCTGAAGATACAGTGCCACGTGAACATGGGGCCGCCCCCGCCGCGGGGCCCTCCCGCCAAGCGGGGCGAGGACCCCGGCATGAGCTCCGAGGACGACGGGCTGCCCCGGAGCCCCCCGGAGCTGTCCCTGCTGCCCGACGCCGGGCCCGGCACGGCCGTGAAGGCAAGTACAGCCCCCGGTCCCCGCACCCGCACCGCACGGCCCGGCACGGCCGTGAAGGCAAGTACAGCCCCCGGTCCCCGCACCCGCACCGCACGGCCCGGCACGGCCGTGAAGGCAAGTACAGCCCCCGGTCCCCGCACCCGCACCGCACGGCGTGGCTGGCCGCGGGCCCGGCGCAGGGGAGGCCTCCGGAGCGGGCCAGGCGCCCACCGCTGGCGCTGCTCACTCACTCCGGGGGCAGAGAGGCCGGCCTCCCCGGGCGATGGGCCTGGCCGTGCTTTCTGACGGGGACCTGAGTCCGCTCTGCGCCTCGTCTTTCCTGTGAGCAGAGGGCCGGGCCGGGAGGAAGCGCCTTTGTCCCCCTCAGCTGGCCCGACACTGGGCGGAGGGATGTCAGCAAACGGACCTGGTCCCGGCGGTGGCATCTGAGTGGGGGACAGTGAGGGCTGGTCGGGCGGGAACGGGGGGGTGTGGTGCTGGTAGCAGGCAGCGGGGAGATGGCCCCACAGGAGAGGCTGCCTGACCTCAGTGTCCCAGCCTCCGTGTCCCCAGCCTCCATGTCCCCCAGCCTCTATGTCCCCAGCCTCCATGTCCCCCAGCCTCTATGTCCCCAGCCTCCATGTCCCCCAGCCTCTATGTCCCCAGCCTCCGTGTCCCCCAGCCTCTGTGTCCCCCAGCCTCCGTGTCCCCCAGCCTCTGTGTCCCCCAGCCTCCGTGTCCCCACCCTCCGTGTCCCCAGCCTCCATGTCCCCAGCCTCTATGTCCCCAGCCTCCGTGTCCCCCAGCCTCCGTGTCCCCAGCCTCTGTGTCCCCCAGCCTCCGTGTCCCCCAGCCTCTGTGTCCCCCAGCCTCCGTGTCCCCAGCCTCCGTGTCCCACCCTCCATGTCCCCCAGCCTCTATGTCCCCCAGCCTCCATGTCCCCCAGCCTCCATGTCCCAGCCTCAGTGTCCCCCAGCTTCCGTGTCCCCAGCCTCCGTGTCCCCCAGCCTCCGTGTCCCCAGCCTCCGTGTCCCCACCCTCCGTGTCCCCCACCCTCCGTGTCCCCAGCCTCCGTGTCCCCCACCCTCCGTGTCCCCAGCCTCCGTGTCCCCCATCCTCCGTGTCCCCAGTCTCTGTGTCCCCAGCCTCCGTGTCCCCCACCCTCCGTGTCCCCACCCTCCGTGTCCCCCACCCTCCGTGTCCCCCAGCCTCCGTGTCCCCACCCTCCATGTCCCCCACCCTCCATGTCCCCCACCCTCCGTGTCCCAGCCTCCGTGTCCCCAGCCTCCGTGTCCCCCATCCTCCGTGTCCCCAGTCTCTGTGTCCCCAGCCTCCGTGTCCCCCACCCTCCGTGTCCCCACCCTCCGTGTCCCCACCCTCCGTGTCCCCCAGCCTCCGTGTCCCCCAGCCTCCGTGTCCCCACCCTCCATGTCCCCCACCCTCCGTGTCCCAGCCTCCGTGTCCCCCAGCTCCAGTGTCCCACCCTCCGTGTGCCAGCCTCAGTATCCCAGCCTCTGTGTCCCCAGCCTGGTGTCCCCCAGCCTCCGTGTCCCACCCTCCGTGTCCCCCAGCGTTCCTGTCCTCCTCCCCTTGACCCCCCTCCCACCAGCGCCCCAGGGACCACAGCGGGAGTTCACGCTTCTCCTGGGCCTGAAGGGACCCGTCTCCCAGACCTGAGCCCGCAGCCCTCAGTGGAGAGCTCGCTCCCAGCAGGAAGGTCCAGGGGCCCAGCCCGGCGCCCGGGCAGGACCGACTCCTTGCTCAGCGTCAGGGACCGGGGCTCCTGGGCTGGCGGCCAGGTGGGCCCTGGAGGAGGGAGCGGCGTGCCTGTGCTTCGGACTTAGAGAGGGTGACAGAGCCCCTGATCTCAGTCCTGGTCTCACTGCGTTTGCAGAGCTCCTCGTCTCTGTTCTCTGAGTCCCAGACAGTCAGCAAAAACAGGCCAAGGGTGAGTACGTCTAGACAGAGGGGCTGGTGTCAGATTCTGCATGATTTTTTAAAATATATTTATTTTTTATTGATTTCAGAGAGGAAGGGAGAGGGGGAGAGAGAGAGAGAAACATCAATAATAAGAGAGAATCGATCGGCTGCCTCCTGCACGCCCTACATTGGGGACTGAGCCTGTAACCCGGGCATGTGCCCTTGACTGGCATTGAACCTGGGGCCCTTCAGTCCACAGGCTGACGCTCTATCCACTGAGCAACACCAGCTAGGGCAGGGTTCTGCTGCGTGGCCCTTAAGGAGGACTCCCTGGGGAGCTGTCTCTGGTTCAATCCAAGCTGACTCCGGGTCCTCAGGGGCAGGAGGGAAGGAAGCTGAAGCCACAGGCACAGAGGAGCCGTGGCCAGGGGCCCTGTGGTTTGTTTAAAATAATTTTTCTTGCTCTATTTCCATAGCAGCTGAGTAGCTCAAACAAGATCTAAAATTGATTCCATCCACTTATAGCCTTTCCCGCGACTCAGTGCCCGTCTTCTCCCACCTGACGGCCATGAGCAGACCGATCAGCGTTCTGCTCGCCCGAGGGCATGTGCAGGGCCTTTGGAGGAACAGGGGAGGCAGTGCCCGGGTGGTCCCTGCCCAGAGCCTGTCTCCCAGCCGGGGCCGCGCTGTGCGCCCGCCCCCTGGTGAGAGGGGGCTCCTGGCCCCTACTCCGCGTGGGGCCCAGGGTTTGCGACAAGTAGCTGAGCAGGAGGTACCCATGCCCCCCAAGCCTGCTCTCTGCCTCCCTCCTGAGACTCCCCAGGGCTCACTAAATCATCCTGAGAGGCACAGAGTTGTGGTCTTAGGTTAGAACCGTGGTCGGCAAACTGCAGCTCTCGAGCCACATGCGGCTCTTCGGCCCCTTGAGTGTGGCTCTTCCACAAAATACCATGGCCTGGCCGAGTCTGTTTTGAAGAAGTGGTATTAGAAGAAGTTTAAGTTTAAAAATTGTGGCTCTCAGAAGAAATTACAATCGTTGTCCTGTTGGTATTTGGCCCTGTGGACTAATGAGTTTGCCGACCACTGGGTTAGAAAGTGAACCTGACACCACCTCACCCATTAGGATCGATACTATAAAAAATATAAACAAACAAACAAATAAATGGCACGTTTGGGCGAGGACCTGGAGATGTTAGAATCCCAGCTTGGTGTTACAAAGTAAAACGGTGCAGGCGCTGTGGAAAGCAGTGTGGAAGGGTCCTCAGAAAACTGAGACAGAACTAGCAAACGATCCAGCAATTCTGCTTCTGGGTATCCACCTTTAAGAATTAAAAGCAAGTTCTCTAAAAGGTATTTCTATAGCCATGTTCATAGCAGCGTAATTCACAGCAGCAAAAACGTGGAGGCAGCACGATGTCCGTCCGAAGGCGGCCAAGAAACAGCCGTGGTCGGTGCACACCAAGGGGGTCTCTGACCCGCGGCCGGGGACGGCCTGGCAGACACTCTGCTCAGGGAGATACGCCAGCAGCAAAGGGGCGGACTGTGAGCCCCCAACAGGAGGGGCCGCGAGGAAGCTCAGAAAGCACGTCACAGAGACAGAGAGCACACTCAGAGACAGAGAGCACGCTCAGAGACAGAGAGCACACTCAGAGACAGAAAGCACGCACAGAGACAGAGAGCACGCTCACAAGGACAGAGAGCACGCTCACAGAGACAGAGAGCACGCTCACAGAGACAGAGAGGACGCTCAGAGACAGAGAGCTCGCTCACAGAGACAGAGAGCACGCTCAGAGACAGAGAGCACACTCAAAGACAGAGAGCACGCTCACAGAGACAGAGAGCACACTCAGAGACAGAAAGCACGCTCACAGAGACAGAAAGCACGCTCAGGGACAGAGAGCACGCTCACAGAGACAGAGAGCACGCACAGAGACAGAGAGCACGCTCACAAGGACAGAGAGCACGCTCAGAGACAGAGGGCACACTCACAGAGACAGAAAGCATGCTCAGAGATAAAAAGCACGCTCAGAGACAGAGAGCACGCTCAGAGACGGAAAGCACACTCTCAGAGACAGAGAGCACGCTCACAGAGACAGAAAGCAGGCTCAGAGACGGAAAGCACGCTTACAGAGACAGAGAGCACGCTCACAGGGACAGATAGCACGCTCAGAGACAGAAAGCAAACTCAGAGACAGAGAGCACGCTCAGGGACAGTAAGCACACTCACAGGGACAGAAAGCACGCTCAGAGACAGAGAGCACGCTCAGAGACAGAGAGCACGCTCAGAGACAGAGAGCACGCTCACTGGGACAGAAAGCACGCTCAGAGACAGAGAGCACGCTCAGAGACAGAGAGCACACTCACAGGGACAGAAAGCACGCTCAGAGACAGAGAGCACGCTCAGAGACAGAGAGCACGATCAGAGACAGAGAGCACGCTCAGAGACAGAGAGCACGCTCAGAGACAGAAAGCACACTCAGAGACAGAGAGCACGCTCAGAGACAGAGAGCACACTCACAGGGACAGAGAGCACGCTCAGAGACAGAAAGCACGCTCACAGGGACAGAGAGCAGGCTCAGACACAGAAAGCACGCTCAGGGACAGAGAGCACACTCACTGGGACAGAGAGCACACTCAGAGACAGAGAGCACGCTCACAGGGACAGAGAGCATGCTCAGAGACAGAGAGCACACTCACAGACAAAGAGCACGCTCACAGAGACAGAGAGGACGCTCACAGGGACAGAGAGCATGCTCAGAGACGGAAAGCAAGCTCACAGACAAAGAGCACGCTCACAGAGACAGAGAGGACGCTCAGAGACAGAGAGCTCGCTCACAGAGACAGAGAGCACGCTCAGAGACAGAGAGCATGCTCAGAGACAGAGAGCACGCTCACAGAGACAGAAAGCACGCTCAGAGACAGAGAGCACACTCAGAGACAGAAAGCACGCACAGAGACAGAGAGCACGCTCACAAGGACAGAGAGCACGCTCACAGAGACAGAGAGCACGCTCACAGAGACAGAGAGGACGCTCAGAGACAGAGAGCTCGCTCACAGAGACAGAGAGCACGCTCAGAGACAGAGAGCACACTCAAAGACAG